TCCCTGGCGGGGTGGGCTCGGGCCACAGGGCTGGGACGACCTCGCGGTGCTGAGACTCGCCCCTGCGCCCCGGAAGCCCTGACCCCTGCAGTCTGCCGAGGCCGCCCCTGGACAGGCCCCCTCTTCTGGGGTCCCCTGCACATCTCCGGGGGGCCTGGCCCAGAAGGGGCTGGCAGTCCTCCACCGGGCCGGCCCGCGTGGGGCCTTGAGGAGGCCCTTCCCAGGGTGGACGCCTGGCCTCCCGCCTCACCGAGGGGGCTGGGGCTGGCCTGGCCCAGCCCCCCAGGGGTCAGGCCTGGGCTGGGGCCCAGGAGCCCACAGGGCTGTGCCTGGGGCAGCCGCCGCCTCGTGTCTGGGCTGGGGCCCTGGCCATGCCGGGGCGGGCAGTGGGTGCTGGGACTTGGGGACAGCAGCGCAGGCGCGGGACGCTGCGGCCAGCAAGCCCAGCTGCTCTGGAAGGGGAAGGCCGCAGGCAGGCCGGTCAGGGAGGGAGGGCGCGCCCTCGGCCGCCGGGGGTCCAGGCTTGCTCTCCTCTGCCCAGGGATGAATGGCGGGCACAGACGCCCCCAGTCAGGACGCCGGCCGGCCCCAGCCCTGTCCGCCCGGGACGCCGGCCGGCCCCAGCCCTGTCCGCCCGGGACGCTGGCCGCAGCAGGCCTGGAACAAGTTTACAACTCGCAGGAGGCCTGGGGGCCGGAGAAGGGCGAGCAGGCTTCTGGGGACGCAGCGCTGCCCCAAGGCCAGGTGGCTGCAGCGAGGGGCCCTGCCGAGGGGCCACTGGCTGTCCCTGCTGCTCCGGCCGTCCTAAGCCCTGTGGCAGGCGGCCACTGACCAGAGCCCGCGCGGCCGTGCGCCAGCCCTAGCTGGCCCAGGCAGGGTCGCCCAAGCCCACCTCTCACCTGGGGGAGACCGCGACTCCGCAGCCCTGCGTGCGTCCTGTGGGTGGGGGGAGCCGGAGGGCAGGCGACGGACGACCCTGGCAGGGGTCGGGGATAGCGTGGCCGCGCCAGGCTGGGTGTCCAGGCCCCCAGGAGCTGGCACTGCCCCTTTCTCTTCCCCAAAGAGCAAACTTTTCCTCACAAAGTCCTGCTGGCCAACAGACAGGTGGCCACTGGGTGGGTCACGGGAAACAGGCGGAGCCGAGCAGGACCCCAACACCACCAGACCCAGCTCTTGCTCCCTCGGGCGCTGCCCCTTGGCCCCTCCGTCCGGCCGCTCTGAGCGGGCCGTCCTGGCCATCACTAGCCTTGCTCACGCCCGGGGCCGTGTCCTGCCCACTCAGTCCACCGCCCGCAGGGACCAGGCTGGCCCTGCCCGGCCCCACGCACCCCAGCCGCAGTCCCGGTTCCCCGAGGGCCCGTGCACCGGAGGCCCGGTCCAGGGAGCGGAGTGGCCTCGGTTGGCCTGGACGACCCAGCGAAGCGCCCTCCGTCCCCCCGCTCCGGCCACCCCCAACCCAGCCCCCGGGGTGGGGAGCTGCCACCCTGATCGGGGACAGAGCCCGCCTGGCCCCAGGCGCCCCCTCGCTTGCGGGGAGGCCGCCCAGGCCGGTGTGGACGGCCAGGAAAGGCCGCAGGCCGCCGGGCACCGCCTCCCCTCAGGCCCTGCGGCACCCAGCCCTCCCCAGGGGCCCCCTCTGCCAGAGCGCCCCCCAAAGCGACTCTGCGGCCCAGGCCCCGGGCGGCTCGTGCACCCTCGGCGGGCCACGGATGCGCCGTGGCCAGGGCAGCCGGCCTGTGAGGCCCTCCGGGCCCCCACGGGGGCGGGGCCGCTGCAGGCAGAGGCCGCCGCCGGCCACTTGCATGATTTATTGTAAATTCCTGCCGCTGTGTTTAATGTTCTCTGGATCCCACTTAACTCCGGCTCCCCCAGCCGCCGGCCCCGGGCCAGGCCTGCTGCACCCTGCGGCCACACCCGGGGGGCCTGGCCTCAGCGCCCGGGAAGGCGCCCCAGGGCGAGTCCGAGTGTCCTGGGCGCGGGGTCGGGGCCGCCGGGAGCGCGCAGAGCCGCAGGACAGGCCCGGCCCCAGCCCCGGCCGGTGGCCCTGGGCGCTGCTCCTGCCAGATGGCCTGTCCCTCCCCGGACCTGCGGGCAGGGCCGGCCGGCGTGCCTCGTCTGCTCGGCCGTCCAGTTCCCGGAGAAGGGACGTGTGGGTGGGTGGCCCTGGCTCAGTGGCCACTTCCAGGACCATCCTGCTCCAAGCTGCCCGGCTGTTCCGGGTCAGGTCCCGGCCGTGCTGCCCGAGGGCTGGGGAGGGCCCCCGGTGCAGGGCAGCGCGCTCCTCTAGGCCAGCTGTCCACGGCTGGCAGCCGCCCGGCCAGCCTCACGCTGCGTGTGGCCTGCCGGGCCAGGCCGAGGGCCACCGGGAAGCCCAGGAGGGACGCTGACTGCTGCTGGC